ATCGCATTGTTAAGCCTATGATGTGGCTCCCTAGAGGGTATAGAGTTAGGATCTGTAGGGATGCAATGGGTGCAAAGAGAAGGGCTAATTCCCTTAAGGTCTTGGAGCGAGTAGCCAAAAGCAGAACTATGCTTTTCTAAGATAGTTAACAAGCGTAGGGATTCTTTCTGAGAGTGTTTATCACTTATGATCATAGGAGAACCCTGATTATTATGGAGAAAAGCGTATCCAAGACCAGAAGGCAGGGGTTTAAGCTCAATGGTGGGCTTAGGTGGTTCTAGCAATTCATCTAGAGGTTCAGGTTCCATAGGATTTTCTCTTCTTCTTTGATGAAGAATTGGGCATCATCTTCAAGGTTGGGTTTGATCAAATCATCAAGAGATGCAACCTTAACCTCTTTCTTTGGGTCTTCCTTAGGATTTGGCTCAGTCTTAGCATTTAGAGAATAAGTGATAGGTATAGAGAGTTTAAAGTTTTCCCCAAGTCTTATATTCAACTTCCCAGTTTGTCCTTCTTGAATATGTCTTTCAATTGGTTGTCCAATCAACAGGTTGAACTCTATGATATCAAAGATATAAAAGCTCAAATGAAACATGGTTCCTTGTACCTAGATAGAGAGGACATACAAAATCCCCAAACTCGAGAGAATGTGTCCTGAAAGACTTTTCAATAACTTTGTTGTTGGGTTAATGTCATGTGTTTCAATAAATCATGAGCAAAAGATGTAGACATGATATTAACACCCATAACTAGATTGTAAAAAGCATCGAAAGGAGCTTTGTTAATTTGGCAGCGAATGGAAATAGAAGGTGAATCTAGACGAATCACATCAGAGGAAAGTTCTGATTCTTCTAGCCATTCATTGCTTATAATAGACACTAGCTCTTTCATAGTCTTTTCAAGGAAAGCTTCCTCAGAAGGTGAAAAGGTTCTTCATGTGATGATGATTTCCAAGACTTCTAGGGTCTCCTCATCGTATGATAATTCAAGGTATCTCTGTATTCATCAAAAAGTTCATCCTCGAATTCAAGCAAGAAATCCAAAATTGGAGTTTCCTCCTTTTTCGGTGGTTCGGGATCTAGGATAACTGAAGCTGGTGATGGGTTAAGTAAAGGTTCTGGTTCAGCTATCTAGGATTCTTCCTCTAGTATCTTCTTTTCTATGTCTTCAGGGGTGTTCTCTAAGATTTTAGTAAGAATGCTTCTCCCCAAATTGGTAGAAACATGAAGGAATGAGCCCCCTGAAGCCGTATCAAGACGCTTCGAGATTTTCCTATCAAGACCCATGTAAAAGTGTTGAAGAAGAATGGGGTCTTGAATGGCAAGGTCAGGGCCAATATTAATGAGAGCATTAAAACGTTCCCAAGCCATGCCTAGAGATTCTTTTTCTTCTTGTTTAAAAGATAGAACCTCTGAATGAAGGCTGACTACTCTAGAGATGGGAAAGAAATGTAGGCAAAAGCTAGAGCACAAAGCTTCCCAATCTCCTTGTCTACTCCCTATGGTGAGCTTGTACCAACGTTTAGCTTTTCCCGTAAAGGAGAAAGGAAAGAGCTTCCATCGTAAGGTTTCGTCTGACATGCCTGCTATGCATAGGCATGCATAAGTCTGCTCAAACTCATTTAGAGGGGAATAGGGATTTCCATCATCTTCGCTCAAAAAGGATTGATCCTGAACCATGTTAATTAAACATGGGCATATCTCATAGCCAGGTGTTAGGATAGCCTTTGCAGATTCTAGTGGTTGTAAGCATGCGCTCATAGGTGCAGCGTATTGGTAGATAGGGGTGGACTCTAAATCCATGGTAAAAAGGAAAAGAAAAGGTAAAAGAGATAAAAGATAAAAGAGTAATGATACAAGGTTAAGCTCGGTTCAAAGTTAACTCAGCAACCGTATTCCCCGGCAATTGTGCCAGAAATGCTTGTTGGTATAAATTAATGCACACAGAATAATCCGCAAGTGCACGGATATTATACCGATGTAGCACTTCACCGGGAGTACCTAGTTTTATATCGAGCTCGAGAAAACATGTGTGAGAATAACCAAATCTAACTTAACCCAACTTCACAATCAAGGCTAGATAATAGGAGCATAGAGGAGATTGCTAAGGTCTTCTAATTCTAGCTTCGGTAAGCTTTGTCTTCTATTGTTAAATTCTGGGATATTACTAGAGAAAACACATGCAGAGTATGTTTCCTATAGCAACAATGTCCTGCTAGACCTACTAACGGGGGGTGGACTACAAAGGATTCAACGAGGCTATAAGAGTCACCCTCACGAGCTACCACCGATCCAGAAAGTATGGTACATCCACGAGTAATCGAGTCTAAGCACCACGCTTACACTACGAATACTACTTTAACCTAGGAGCTACAAGGATTAAAGTACTCAAAAGGAAGTCGCAAACCTGAAGAACAATATGAACAAGATGCTTACTTGAATTGGAAGTCGATTACCAGAGAAATCTGAGAAGTAAGCTCAATAAGAACTTGATTCCGCTAGGGTATAAGCCATAGAGACAGCACCGACAGGCCAGGACTCCTCTGAAACTCTTCCCTCTAACTCTATCTCTCTATCTCTATTACAAGACTAGATCCTACGAGGACTAATCTTCTCTTGATTGCTAGCTCTGATCCTGGTGGAAATATGGATTAGGGTTTCTGGCCCTCAGGCTCTCAGGATCTAACTTGGCGTGCCCTAGGGGGTGCAGGCAGGTATATATAGGCCGGAGCATCAATCCTGAGCCTTCGGATCAAATCAACTTAAATAAACGGCGGAGATGCAATCCTTAAGGCGGTGGAGAACCGACATAGCAACGAGGGCCTACCAGGTGTGTCCCATAGACCGACCGGCCTACATGTGGGACCGACCAGCCCCACCTGGCAGGGGCTCAGGCTCCGCTTCGGTGGAGAGCCTCCTAGAGTCTTCTAGAGTCTTCCCACGTTGTTTATCCTATGGAATTACGCTATTTCCTTTGACGAATAGGTCCTCCTTGGTGAATTTCTGATTAAATCCTGCTGAAAACACAGATTCACCAAAACTCATGGAATTTATCAGTTAAAACCCCTAAGTCTATGTTGGTGATCCATTTTAGTCAATTATGCAAGGTATATTGATGGTTTGTGATTGATGTTAACTACCATCAACAACAACAAAAACCAATATAGGCTATAATTCACACCAACACAACAAAAAACCAATATAGGTTTCAAGAGTGTTGACGAAGCTCGACATCATGAACCAACTTAAGAATATTATTACAAAATATATATTAGTTACAAATGATCATGTTGACATTAATCTCCAAAATCGAAAGAGGGGCCTAAATGCTTTCAAGAGTTCCATGTACGGAGGAGACAATTGGGGTTAGATTTTGGGTTACCAGTAGGAGAAAAAGAGGCCACCAGGGATGGAAGGATGATGACCACCTAAGGTAATGGCGTGCAGGTCTAGTGACCTAGTGGGCAGGAGGCGAGACAACAAGGGTGTTATCTGATAGGTGGTGGGAGGTGCCGGCAACAGGGAGGCATAGAGCAAAGAAAATAGAACAAAACAATTTGCAAATTAGAACAAAGGGGCAAATTAACATTTATGGAGAGGAAATAACTCTCGGATAGTGGTTTCTTTCATTTTAGGATCATGCATCAACTTGCAACGTGACAATGCCCATGCATTGCACACGTTGTGTAATTCGGTTATGAGCATCCTCCACCAGATTGAGTAAACCAATCCTCTTTCTCTATAACCAATAATAAAGGGGACAGAAACAAAAAAAAGCTCCAGCAGATTTCCTTTCCAAACCCCTTTCTCCATTTTTTTTCTCAAACCCTCAAGATCCCACCTCAATCCCTTAAATAAAGGGGAACGACCTAATTTTTCTCAACCCCCTTTCTTCCTCTTCCTTTCACCAACATCATGGGTCCACATGACTGAGCACGCGAGCAAGCACGTGGGTTGCCCCGCACCGTCGCGAGAATGCGGGCGAGCACACGGGTGAGCGTGTAGGCCACCGCTCCACCACTGTGTCACTAGGCGAGCGAGCGTGCGGGCCGTCACGTTGCCACGCCCGTGCACAAAGAGAGGAGGAGGGAGAGGAAAGAGATAAGAGAAAAGGAGAGGTTTGCCATTGACATATAGATCTCACATAAATAGAGGAGATGATTTTTTCTCAATCTGCTGCAGAAACCCTTTCATATATCCTGCAATTTCGTATCTCAAAACAATTTTCAATTGGTTTGTAGCTTTATGTGACCCTAGTAGCTCTACCTTTTCAATTCACCAATGCTCTCTTAATTCCCTGAGGATTCATTTAGTCAACCCCTTGCCATCGGGGGATAGAGAGAGATAAAAATGAATTAATTATACCCTTTTCCCTACTCTTACTCAATCTCCTCCAAACCGACCAAACTCTAGGTTGTTATTTGTAGATCCAAGATGATCTTAATAGTAGCTATTTGCTCATGGAAGAAATATTATTAGTTTTTCAATTAAGGGCTTGTTTGGTTAGCCTGAAATGAGCCTAGAAACTATTCCAGCTTGATCAAGTTTATACAAATTAGCTAAACATTCCGGCTGGGAATCTTTCCAGAGAATGGTTCCCACGGAACCAAACGAGGCCTAAAACATCCTCAAACTTATTGGATTTCTTTGTATATTTCTTTACTGTGTAAAGAGTTGAGGCTGCTACGTCTACTACAGTAGTTATCGACGACAGTAGTTGTCAGTCATTGTATGGATCATCTGTATTGAAAAATATTACTCCCTCTCGCCACAAGAACATATCGTTTAGGACAAGATTTGGTCGAATATAAAAAAACCTACAAACATCATCAATAGGTTTTCAATTTTATAGTTTGGAGACATGCATGATATATTTGCAGATTTGTATTGAAAAGCGCTTGCAGAATCTCATAAATCTAGAGGGTTTTAAAAATGCATTCTAGAATATGCTAACGATAAAAAAGATATACATTAAAGACGTCAAATATATCTACTAGACTACTACGTACTTCTATGGTTGGAGGTAGTGTAGTGTCGACGAGCACGGCCACCACGCAAAATGTATGTTTCTTCCATATTTGGAATAAGAATGTCATGATTCATGCAAAACTCAACAATTTGGCAAAAAAAAGTTTCGCATCCATCATCAGATCTCATTTTCTCAAGAAGTACTTTTGTGGTTTGCACAAGGCGAATATCATTTACTATATCTTGCGATTTCTTTTGTAAAGCTTGGCCAAGTTGTTCAGTTATTTCTAACATTTCCCTCATCATACATAGCACAAACACAAACTCAAATGATGTCAAGTACTTGAAAGAAGTATCTCCATTAGCACGGTTTGCACCTGCTGTTGAGTCGGCGGCTAGATTATGCAGAACTGAACTTACTGCTTTAAACATGTTCATAAGGCTGGAAATAGAGCCTAGGTGAGAACTCCACCTAGTCTCTCTTGGACGTCTCAATGAACGGATTTGGTTTTCTCCTTGACCTGTCTCGAGCTCATCAACCGCAAGCAAGCGTGCAAGTTCAACCATTTGGGCATCATGGAGCTCATCATGACACTTTGATGATGAATCAACCGTGTTTACAATAAAGAGAATATGCTGAAAAAACTGGGTAACAGGAACCACATCCTTTGCTGCAGCGACAAGAGCAAGTTGCAAGCGATGTGCATAGCAATGGACATAATATGCATAAGGACATTCTCTAAGAAAAAGTGCTTGCAGTCCATTCAACTCTCCCTTCATATTGCTTGCATCGTCATACCCTTGGCCACGAAGGTTTTGGATGTCAAAGCCATATTTGGACAGTACAGTACATAGTTTTTCTTTTAATGTCAATGCTTTGGTGTTCTTTACATGTATCAAGTCAAAGAACCGTTCTTGTAAAACACCATTTATATCAACAAATCTAAAAACAAGTGCCATTTGCTCTCTCTTTGCCACATCACATGTTTCATCCACAAGAATAGAGAACTTGGCATCACCAATTTCTTCATGGATATGCTTCCTGACTTTCATTGCAAAAATACTTAAAATCTCTTTTTGAATATCTGGTGAAGTGTATTTACAATATTTTGGGGCATTCTCTAAAATTACACTTGCAATTTCAGGATTCAACTCTGTAAGAAGCTTTAGCATTTCAATAAAGTTACCTCTGTTTTTTGACTGAGGTGTCTCATCACGACCTCTAAAAGCACATGACTGAAATGTTAGCAACTTAACAACTGCTATTGATGTTCTCAGACGTAGACGATTTCTTTCCTTCTCCCTGTCAGTTACCTCTTCCAAAATATTTTCTATATGATTTGGTTGATTCAGTATAGCTTGACATTCTCTTACTGCATTATTGTGTTGTGAGCAAGGTGTGGATCCAACATGAACTAAGAAGCCACACTTTTTCCCATCATTAACTTTCTTCCAATTATCGAAACCTTGTGCTGTAAAGACATCAAAACCACCTCGCTTCTTTATATTTTTACTACAAAGGAAGGAGAAAAAACAATATGCACGGCCGCTGCTCTCGGAATATTCCAACCAAGACGGAAATTGACTGAACCAAATATAATTGAAACGGCGTTGATGCTCTTGGGGTCCAGAAGTCTTGTATTTCTTCAATAATGGTTGCATGGGACCTAACTGCAAGTATGCTCGCCGCACTTGATCTCTCTGGTCATTTGGATATTGCCAAATTTGTGGACGCGATGCAGGATCTCTCTCTAAGAATTCGATGCCTCGAAACATGATGTGTTCATTTCTTTGATTTTCTTCTTCCTCAGCTTCGGCTCCTTCCGTATCTTCTTCTTCTGCTATTCCAATTGCTTCTTCCTGGACTTCTTGTCTTTGTGGCTCTGAATCATCTAACTCATTTGAAACTGCAGCTTCTTGTTCTCTTTGCCTCAGCTGATCCAATTCATCTAACTAAGCTGCTTCTTCTTCCTCATTTCCTTCTTGCCTTTGGGGTTCCAAATCTATTGGAGGAGCTTGATCTTCCTCTTCCCCAACATCTGATTCATCTCGTTTTCTTTTGTAAAAAGAATGGAGAGACACAGTTTTCATGCGAACCATTGTTGCTACCTAATAACAAAATTGCATCCAGTTATTTTTTATTTCAATCAAGCATCAAGCAAAACCATATGAAAAAGAAATAGAGCAAAAGATTGGAGTTGGAGATCGAAGAAGAAAAATTAACCTGGCGACGATGAGACGACGAGGCGTCGAGCCAGCGACCACCACTGCTGCGCTGCAGCCTACACCCTGCAGGACCGCGGGATGGAGGGAGGACGAGTCGAGAGGCAGGGCGGCTGCCCCTGCTGGTGTGCCGGTGTCTGCTCGGCTGGGGGCCGACGGTGGCGTGGTGCGGCGCCGTGGTGGACTGGCGGTCTGGCGGAGCGGCGGAGGTCGGAGACTCGGAAGAGTCCCCGAGTTACCGAGCCAGGCACTCTGCTCAGCTATTCTGCTCTCGTTGTTGGGCTGTCTGGCTATTGGGCTTCGTGGGCTGAACAATATTTGGGAATTTTGTTTTGGACAGGGGGCGGAGCCCAGTTTGGCCCCCATTGCGCTCCGTCCGTGACGTGGATGCCGCCACCTCCTGGGGCCAGCACCACCACCGCTGCTGCAAGGGCTGATCCACTGAAGGATTACCGCAGCCGCGTCACCCGTCGCAGCCCGCCTCCCCTGGCCGCAGCTGCAGCCGCCGTCGCCCCTAACGGCAATTGCCGCGCGCCGCAGCTGGCCGCTGCAGCAAGGCAAGATGCGCAGCCCCTGGCCACCGCAAGATGCTCCGTCGCCGCTCTATGCTCCGCTGCCGCCGGCCTCTCGTGGTCCCGCCACAAACGAAAAACATGCGATTTTTTCCATCCAGCATGCCAAGAGCCCTAGAGGCCACATCATCAAAGATAGATAATGTGGAGCGCTGACCTATGCAAAACCACTCAAGGGTTATTTATCCAGTTTTACAAGGTTTAATGTGTAAAATACCTGGTTTATAGTTAGGGGTTATATAGACCACCTCAATACGTCACGAGATTATGCAGACTTTTTCCATACAATTATAGCACAAAAAAGTCGACCCATATGATCCACACGCAATCCAAACGGATCCGTCGGACGGCGGCGGTGCCAGATTCCGCCGGCAGTAGCAGCCACATCCCTGATGACATAATCTTCTTCCAGATTCTCATACTGCTTCCCGTCAAGTGCCTTGTGCGCTTCCAGTCCGTCTGCAAGAGTTGGCGCGCCACTATACTCACCACTCATTTTATCTGCTGCCACCTGGAGCATTCCAGGACTAGGTTGTCAATGGTCGTCATGCCCCGGAGGTACGAGGACTATAAGAAGTTTGGCCTTCAGGGTGTCAATTTCTACACTTTCCAGCCTGGGCAAAGCAAGGTTGCCGAGCTCATCCTAGAGAAGAGGTGTCCGTGCGGAATCCCAGTGTTCACCACGCCTCTGCAATGTGATGGACTCATTCTGCTCCCTTGCTTGACGGGACGGATGTTTGTGTGTAACCCGGCAACCAGGGAGTTTGTTGAATTGCCACGAGGAAGCTGTAATGTCTCCGGGGACCACAGGGTCGCCTTTGGTCGCGACCCTTGTACTGGCAAGTATAAGGTTGCTAAGCACTTCTTCCGCTCATACGCCGAACGCTACAGGAAGATGGGGAAGGCACAGTTCTGGAATACAGCGCTGGGCATGAGATCTTGACCATTGGTGATAGAGTAGATGCTTGGAAATGGAAGGTGACAGTGGATCCGCCTTACGCTATCAACGCCAGGACTCCAATTTGTCTGCCCGGGTTCTTCTATTGGCGCGCTCTCCGCTCCGTCACCGGCCATGGCATTAACAAGGTCAGCTCACATGTTATCCTTCGGTTTAGCTTGCACGATGAAACATTCACCGTGCATCCCAACCCACCACGCAGTGGTTTTCTAAGCAACAATGACATGCTGTGCGAGCTTGGTGGCAAGCTATGCTATGTCGAGTCTTCCTCGCCGTGGGATGTGGAAATTTGGTTGGCAGAGGATGGTCCAAACCTTGCTTGGCTGCGGCATTGCTGCATCCGCTTGCCGGTGCCAAGGCTGCTGAACGTTTTCGCTTGTGCTTCGGGCGATAGAGACAAGATATTCCTGTCTATTGACGCCTTTCGCCTTTTGAGATATGATCTGCGTGATGGATCTCTTGAGGAAATAATCGACATGGCACAGGACTTGTTGTATGACCATCGGAATGGAACAAAATTCTGCACTGGTTTCCGCCCTGTTGCCCATTACATGGTTCCCTGTGTGGAATCGCTTTTGCGCGTATTAGACCCATGATAATAATGAGCGGGCAGATATTGTATGGGATCAATAGTAGCTGTAAGCTCAGATGCACCTTGGTGCCCAATTCTTCGTGTGTGAGTCTTTGTAACCTGAGTTTGTATGAAAACTATTATTAATCTAGATTTACTTATGTTGATTCTTGTACCTACATTCCATTTCTTTGCATTCAGTATCATCTGATTATCATGTTTTTACTAGCCCCTGGTGACAGCCCTTGTGGAGAAATGGTGGACCAAAAAGTAACGTTTATCTGATCCATTCAAGTGTAGTATGCGGGCTAATTTTCGGGCACTAACCAGCAATGCAAGGTACGGTGCCTGAATCTCAGTTTTTATGGCTCTGAACCTGAACGACTTGGGATTAATCTGAACTGGAACCAGGAGCCAGACGAGTTCCCCGGCCTGGCCCAGCAGCTGCCGGAGGTGGCCACCATGCCCGGCCGGACAGTGTTCGTGACGTCGGTGAACGAGTCGTGGGTGGTCCCGGTGATTATTATTGCTTAGGGCCCGTTCAGTTATCAGAGAATGACTCCCTGGAACGAATCCAGCTGGAACAATTAGCTTAGTTTGTATAAGCAAGTAAACCTTGTTAGCAGCACACGATCTAGAGGATGAACTCAGATCACTCCAACTCCATAACAATCAGCACAGGTAATAAGATCCCGTACAATATGAGATGGAATCGGGGGAAGGCAGCAAGCAGGGGAATCGGAGCTAGGAGGAAGATACTAGAGGGTTCTAGAAGATACTGGAAGTAAAGAATCCGGGTACAAGAGTAAGAGGCTTGAGGAGGAAGATGAACAGTAACTAGAGGGAGAGAGATTCTGTTTCAGATAATTGGTTCGATGCCTCCCTGCTGCTTCGCCGATGCTCTCTTGTAGAATTGTTCCTCAATTGCGTAGGCTGTTGACATGCCCAGTAGGCCACTCGGCCCAAGGCCTGATGCCGGCCCATAGCATGGATGGTTCTTGACATTCCCCCTTCTTAAAATTCGGCTTGCCCCCAAGCCGAAGGAGAAGTTCGGAACCACCGGGATCCCAAGGAAACTGGACGATCATTTGTTTCTTCAATTCCATCTTGGAAAGTTGTCTTCCAGTATCTTTGGTTAGAGCAGGTGGAGCTGCAGCATGCGGCACAATTGATTCAACAGGGACATCTTCTGCTTTATGCTCATGGTCCTATTTGCATCATCATCAGCCACATCATCAAGGCCAGCATCTATGAATGCAACCAATGCAGGTAGCTGCCATGGTGGCTTCCAGAGCAAGCGAAAACACAGCCCACTAGAAAGCCAAACCACTACTGGGAAGGGCCAAGGTGTTGCTCCAATTTCAGCAAATGTTACTGCCACCAGGACATGTTCATCGTCCACCAGAAACACTCCTTTGTGCATGTATGCATGTGGTATAATCAGGCCCCATTTGTCAACACCAAGTAGCAGCCCAGTTCTTCTATCAATGATGAGATATATGCGACCCATCTGATCCTTTGGAGGAAATGAGTACTCAAGAATCAAACTCTCACTAGTAGCGGCAGAACCCAAGCAATTGTTCATAATAGGCCCCAGTTGTGCAGCACGGTCGCGATCCCACTGTTTGATATAGGTGACTAAATAACTGTAAATAATGGGCCAAAAGTTCAGAGAACTGCTTGTCCTGAATCCGGAAACTGTTGTTGGGACTTGTACCACTGCCAGAAGCCTCAAAACAGGAGCCCTTAGCAGCACAAATGAATTAACTGGACCTGTCTCAATAGGCTCACTTGCAATGCTATTATGAAGATTTGCAGGAGGTGGCCATGGCTTCATAGCAACGTGTGTTACTTCAACAACTGTTTTCTCATGCAGCAACAAACTTTTAGCCATCCATCTTGCAAAGCAAACAGGCAATAAGGGAGCATCTTCAGCACTTCCACTCAACAGGAGCAATAGAAAATTAGAAGCCCATTGGGACAGCAAATGTAACAGTCTGATAAGGTGAACCAATCCATAAAAAATGCAACAGGGACTGAAGGAATGGAGCACATCAAGTTCAGATCGAACAATAGCTGATAAATGCAGGAAACCACCCCTTGAAATCCTTGTCTCGAGTAGCTCAAAATCAACCAGCAGTCTAACTTTGGCATTGACAGATCCAAACTCAGCTGCAGAATACCAGAATGATTGCCATGGTATTGGTTGTAGGTCAACACTAACATGCATCTCCAGCACCGGCGCAGGCTGCCTGGCCATGCATCTTTCCAGAGAACCACAGCACCCCCATACTGTTTGCACCTCCAGTGTCAATACAGCCAACGCACGAGCCGGGGCGAGCGCAGCCCACGAAGAATGGCACATGTACACTCAGCTCCCAATCCAAAAGCTTGCCATCAATGTGACGAGTCTGCTGGACACGCGTGCTTAGCAGCAACACCACAGTGGAGATCTTCCATGAACAATCCTCAAAAAGCTGAGCTGATGCGAGGTACCCAGGACAGGTGGTGGGTGAGTTGGTGAAAATACCAGCAGGGTCGAAGTAAACCTTCTGTAGTGCGGCCATGGAGGTTGGTGATGATGTTGGCACAGCTTCGACAGCGTGCGTTAACGCCAGAAGGCTGATGTTGGCGCCCATGCAATCTGTCGAACACTTGACCGGCGCGGCTATGGCGATGTCATGGAGGTCGTGCAAAGCGTAGCGGAGCTGGCCTTCGCCGGGAGGGATGCGGCGGCGTTGCGCGACGTACGCGCGGTGGATTTGGAAGATGTCCTTCCGCATCTCGAAGTCGGCGGGCAGCGGAACGAAACGCAGGTGCGCGCTGGTGTAGCAGAGTAGCCAGTCGCCGTGGAGAACCGAGTCGCGCGGGTAGAGCTGCGCGACCAGGTAGCGGCCGCGGCGGCGCGGGTCGGGGTCGAGGATGAGGCCGACGCTTCCGCTGATGGCGTGCGCGCTGCAGAGGTACATGTCGTCGGGGTCGTTGCGCCCGGCGTGGTTGCCGCGGCCCAACGCGTCGAAGCGGAACCGGGGCACGCGGTCGAGCGCGGCAGGCCCGCGCGAGTGGAGCAGGCGACGGTGATTGAACTCGTTGTTGACGAAGGTGATCTCAAAGCCCCGCGCGTGGCCGAGGCGGAAGGTGTACTCCCCCGGGGACGGGTCCCCCGTGGCGCGCCACGAGGACATGTGCCAGTCCAGCCCCGTGCGGAAGTCCACGCCCAGCTTCATGCCGGGGAGGAGCATGTTGGTGGGGTGGTCGAAGCTCTGCCACACCACGCCAGCGCCGGGGACCCGCAGCACGAGGTTGCCGTTCGCCAGGAGCCGCGCGATGGCGTTGGCGCGGCTCGCTGTGGGCGGCGGCGGCGGCGGCGCCCGGCTGCTGCTGGTCGTGGTCGGTGTCCTTCATGATAGATTTCTAGATCACCTGGGCGGATCAGTGGGGTTTTTCTCTACAGGTAGTTCGTCCTAGAGAGAATTAGATGAAGAGAGAGGGATGTAGAGAGGTAGACTATCGGTGGGCTTGATCGGATGAGCAAGCCATGAAGTAGGTGTTGATGACACGGGTGTTGACGTGGGGTAGCAGTGGAGTCCGGCAGTGGTGTCGAAGGCGTAGTGGAGGCGTGGTCCAGTGGCGGCGGCAAAAAGCAGTGGAGCTTCCCGTCGCTCACAGCGCGTCCTCTCGATCGGACTAGGGTTAGGATGTCGGTGGGAACTGACGGTCGTGGTGAACCTCGTGTCTCGAGCACCAGCCCCCACCTCCTATTCATAGCGCTGCACGACGGGGCCCACCAGCCAGGAGAACGGCTAGGCGCCCCCGATCATGGCGTGAGTTAGGGTCCGACTCGGTCGTTGGACCGAGCCGGGTGGTGATCAATCTAACACTGCAGCGTCCCCGAGCTCCTGGATCTGGCGCTTGTACTCCTGCTTCTGCTGCGGAGGCACGAACGGCGGGTCCAGCGTCACGGGAGGAGACGGAGTCGCTGGTGCGGTCATGACCGAGGCGGAGATGCGTGGCGGAACGGTGTCGAGGCCGAAGACCTCACATCCGCGCTCTATGGGGAGCGACGCCGGCGCGAGCATCAGGCACTGCTCGGCTTGGCTACCTGGGAGCTGTGCGGAGAGGTGGGCGGCGATGTAGTCGTCATCCCAGTCAAAGAGACCTCCCCAATTGTCAGCCACCACTGGTGCATCGGTATCTGTGGCGATGGAGTCGTCGTCTCCACCGAAGAGACCGCCCCAGTTGTCGGCGACGACAGCGGCTCCGACGGCCGCAGCCTGGGTCGAAGCGGAAACGACCCGAGAGATCTCGTGCGCGGCCCGGGTGTCGGAGAAGCGGCGCTCCCACCGAGCGTCGAAGTCGTCGAACAGCTTACAGTCGTGGGGACTCATGGTGATGGATACCGAGAATCGACTGTCTCTGATACCAATTGTAAGCAGCACACGATCTAGAGGATGAACTCAGATCACTCCAACTCCATAACAATCAGCACACAGGTAATAAGATCCCGTACAATATGAGATGGAACCGGGGGAAGGCAACAAGTAGGGGAATCGGAGCGAGGAGGAAGATACTAGAGGGTTCTAGAAGATACTGGAAGTAGAGAATCCAGGTACAAGAGTAAGAGGTTTGAGGAGGAAGATGAACAGTAACTAGAGGGAGAGAGATTCTGTTTCAGGTAATTTGTTCGATGCCTCCCTGCTGCTTCGCCGATGCTCTCTTGTAGAATTGTTCCTCAATTACGTAGGCTGCTGACATCCCCAGTAGGCCACTTGGCCCATGGCCTGATGCCGGCCCATAGCATGGATGGTTCCTGACAAATCTGGATTGGTTCTTGGATCTGGAATGAGCTAACCGAACGAGCCTTTAGCGAAAACCTATGTGTGTATAGTATGTCAAAAATTACTCTGACGGGTGAAAATTTTGAAATTTCAACTCTGAGTGGCAAATAAATTATGTCGTGGAAATAAACGTTGTCATCAAGTCTTTGTTGTGGGAGACTAATCATCCTAGCAGCCTGTTTTGTAAGTTGATAAACTCACACGTCAAATCCTGGGATTTTCTTCTTTGTACTATACAAACCATTTTTCACACTTTTTCAGGGTAGTCCAAAGGTGAAGCTTCAGCTAGCAAATATTCTTCGAAACTACTGCCTGGATCGTTGACAACTAGAGCCGGACTGCCTGGATCGTTGAAACAACATATAGCAATCCGGCAACCTTCGCCTGCGCCGGCCGGTCTACGTTTATTACACCAGCTGGGCACGAGGAAAAAACGCACATCCGTGCGGACGTACGCCGCTGGTTGCACTCGCGCGTCAAACCGTGGCGTGGCATGGCGGAGCACTCGATCGTCTTATTGGCTTCCTTGACACAACAAGTCCACGCACGAGCTGACCAAAGCAAAGCCCGGCGTTTAAGTAGACACGTCCATATGGAACAGTAGCCCAGCAAAGACATGGCCATGGGGTTGGGGTTTCGGATGAGCAAGGAGGCGGCGGGCAGCCACGCGGTGTCGTTCTTCCTCGGCGCGGCGCTGCCCACTGCCCTCCTCTTCTTCCTCGCGTCCGACCGCCTCGGCGAGGGCTTGTCCAGCATCTCGCGCAGCTGGGGGAACGGGCCGGCGGGCGGCGACGATGCAAATGAGGTAACGCGCACGTAAATGTGTTCATGAGCCATGCTGTCTGCTGCAGTCTTCTGCTTGTAGTGTGCTTGTAAGCTTGCTATAATTATGCAGGCATCGCCCAAAACTCTTCACCCAAATTGTATGCATGGTTGTACGTGTACCTGCCAATCTAACGGAGACTTTAACCTTTATTAAGCGTGACGATCATGCACAGGTCATGTTCAAGGGCCTAGCCGAGCTGCTACCGAGGGTTGCCATGGACGACAGGACGGTGATCATCACGTCGGTGAACGACGCATGGGCGCAGCCGGGCTCCCTGCTGGACCTTTACCTCGACAGCTTCAAGAACGGCGAGGACACCGCGCACCTCCTCGACCACCTCCTCGTGGTCGCCCTCGACGCCCGCGGTTTCGACCGCTGCAGGACCGTGCACCCTCACTGCTACCTCCTCAACGCCACGTCCGTGGACATGAGCTCCGCCAAGCCGTTCATGAGCCCGGACTACCTGGAGCTCGTCTGGACCAAGCTCGTCTTCCAGCAGCGCGTGCTGGAGCTCGGCTACAACTTCCTCTTCACGGCAAGATCATTCTTCACCAAGACTCGCAATTTCTTCGATATCTTTAACCAACAATCTTATTTATGATTACACTGACTGGTCTGCAGGACTGCGACATGGTATGGTTTCGCAACCCGTTCCGGCACTTCCCCGTGTACGCCGACATGAGCTGCTCGTCGGACGACTTCAAGCCATCGCGTGCGCCGCTGGACAACCCGCTCAACACCGGCCTCTACTACATGAAGTCGACGAACCGGACCATCGAGATGATGAAGTACTGGCGGGCGGCTAGGGAGAGGTTCCCGGGGCAGCACGACCAGGCGGTGTTCGTCAACATCAGGCACGAGCTTGTCGGCAAGCTGCATGTCAAGATCGAGCCGCTGGACACGGTGTACTACGGCGGGTTCTGCGAGTACCACGACGACCCAGAGAAGGTCTGCACCGTCCACGCCGACTGCTGCGTTGGGCTGGACACCAAGGTGCACGATCTCAAGGACTTCGCCGCGGACTGGAAGAACTACACGAGCCTGACGCCGGAGGCTAGGCAGAAGGGTGCTTTCAAGTGGACGTACCCGACTAGGTGCCGGGATTCCATAGGTTGGCGTAAGCCTTGAGTAGGGCCATCTCAACAATTTTCAGGGTCCTTGGATAAGCAAGATAGTAAGGACCTAGCAATCTAATTTTTTTTCAATATAATTATTGAAGTATACAATACTATTAATAAGAGTTAACTTGGATGACTATCATTGTGTGCTCTGTCAACAATCTTCTGAAGAAACTTTAATGCATCTTCTCTTCTACTGCCCATTTGCTAAGGATTGTTGGGGGCCTGGAATTTTCAGTTTGCAGAACAGCTCACTACGCCTCAGATCTTTCAAGATTGGAACTCTTCAGAATGTTAGCTTTGCACTTGACATTTTCATTCTGATTTGCTGGGCAATATGGACAATGAGGAATGATGTTATTTTTAGAAACAAAAATCCCTCAGTTGAGGACTGCAGAAGGGTAGTCACGGTGGAATCTCTTCTCTTGTTGCACACAACAAAGTCAAGAATCACCCCCCTCCTTGAATCATGGATAAACTCCAACTTGTAATAATCTTTTGGATTTTTTTCTCCTCTTTCTCTGTACCCTGATGCTCCCAGTTAGAAAGGGGATGGGCATAGGATGTTAGCTTTCTTTTCTTACCCTTTGTATTATTGTCAATCTGTTACCTTTTTTTAATAATAATTTGCAGTAGGACCCTCTGGCTCCTCCTGAATCTTAAAAAAAAAGAGTTAACTTGCATATATATTTAGTTCACAAAAATAACGATAGTACAATAAATAAAGAAATTAAAAGATAAATAGATACGAACGGGAACGGCAACCACGCTGAGTGACGCGTGAATACGAAGATCGTAGACAGGCATGCGCGAATACGCAGACTAGTCGCCGACTCGCCACGCAAACTGGACTGTTTCTTTTTTTTCTTTTTTCTTTTTTGAGGAAACTACTGGACTGTTTCTGAGCCGAATACATATGCTATAGATACATATACTCATGGGCCCCCAGCGGCTATGGCCCCCCGGCCGTCGCACTGCCTGCCCCTCCCTTTAAGACAGGCCTGGCCTTGAGAAGCGCAATCTCAAGTGGGTAACATGAGCCATTTTAATATTTTTTTAAACATATACCGACATTCACAGATATATGCACATGTATCCACCCCTATAAATACTGCTATAGACAACATTTCTAGGGGCAGCTACAGATGGTTCGTAGGGATGGCTGGCGGCTATAGATAGTTTGTAGGGGCGGCTGGGCCACACAAGGCACACGATTTTTCGCGCACCTTCACTGCCGCAGGGGCTCGTCAAATTTGCGACCTTAGGACTCGCGCGCCACTCCACCCATAAGTCACTTGTTGTGTCCATATGAGATACTCGTCCTCATTATATTGTTGTCTAATTTTGAAATGAATATTCGGGACCCTAAACGAATTAATTCAAATGAAAAGGCTGATACTCTTAAGAATTGAGGATTCCATCTTTTCGAATATGATATTGATCAATAGTTCAAAATATTTTCTATTTTTCATGCATCCATAGAGCATATTCATGTTATGGTTGTGGACTATATAAAATTGATCTATTGTCCATGGATTAGAAATGGAGATTATCAACCTAGGTTAGGTGGGGTCTCAACTAACCAATGCATTGTTTGTTAGTACAAGTATTGGATATCAATTGACAATAACCAATGAACACAATTGTTGGCCATGTGGTTAAGTGCTTTATAGGACCATGTGAATGAAGGTACTATCACACAAGATATTAAAGAAATTATTGCACTTTATTTCTTTTTGGTTCACTGCATTTCATTAATTTACACCACAATCTTGAACTAATTTGTCTCAGGAGCTCAATTTACTTGTCCATCTTGGTTTTCTGCTTGAGCAAAGAGGTTAATCACTAGAATTCTGATCCAAATCCTTCAACTGTAAGTTACACTTAAATATGAATGTGTAAAAAGAACATTTTTTCATGAAGTACACATGATAGATTGAAGTCAGTACTTGATGGTTTTCAAGTTGAAAATTTCACTGTCAGATCACCACTACTTGTCAATGCATATGTTGCTTGTGAATACCATCTTACTTGGTTCTTTATTGTTACTTTAGCAGCGGATTACAATTCCTCAAGTACAAAAGGTTCGTGGTTTAAAAAAAGTTACAAACAGCCTATTTTCAATAAATAAAATGTTAAGCTACTCTAGATGACGTCGATGCGTCCTTTGGAGACTCGGAAGTGAATCAAGGAAGAAATTAAGGAGTTGATTCGGTGTCCGGGCGGTAGACAGAGGTCACAGTAAGGCGAAATGTGTGTGGGTGGTGGTGGTGGTGGGGGGCCGGGGCATATTCCTCATGGGCTCTCCTCAGTTTGCATGTTTTAACCTCACCCATGCAGACCGAAGTATCACATGACATGAGCCCCATAGGCTATCCCTAACTTCATCTGAGGAGGCTTCCGAAATTATGGCTTGGCGGCCGCACAAAGTCATCTTCGGAGATACCCCCAAAGGGCTGAACACGAAGGTTTGGCTGAGCTGCTACCTGAAATCGAACACTTGCTTGACCATGTCCTTGTCGTCGCCGTCGACACCGTGGCGTTCGTCCACTGCAAGGCCGTGCACCCACACTGCTACCTCCTCGAGGTGAAGTCCTCCACGAACCTGAGCTCCGAGAACAGCTTCTTGAGCGAGGCCTACGTGGAGCTCGTCTGGGCCAAGCTCTCGCTGCAGCAGCGCGTCCTCGAGCTCGGCTACAACTTCCTCTTCACCTTCACAGTACGCCATCACCACGGGCGGATCCAAAGGGGGCGCTGACGGGGCTACAGTCCCTAGTGAGCCTGATTTCTTCATTTAATCACGGTTACTTAGCCTCAAATCACCATTAATCTCAAACTCTAGCCCTAAATCTTCATTATCACCATCAGCCATCCATCGAAGCTCAAACGATTTAAGCACGGATGCAGTGCATTTTAGATTATGACCTGAAGATGCATGATGGCTGCACGTCCGGCTGAGATCGTCTCTCTGCATGCAGGACGTGGACGTCGTGTGGTATGCGCAAGCGCAACCCGTTCCGGCACATCAGCGTGTTCGCGGACATGACGACGTCGAGCGACGACTCCAACAGCCTTGACGACAACTGGTCCAACACCGGCTTCTACTACGTCAAGGCGACGAACCGGACCATGGAGATGCTGCGGCAGTGGCGGGCTGCGAGGCGGAGGTTCCCGCCGAACAACGAGCAGGCCATCTTCAACGATCGAGATCAAGCACGAGCTTGCCGCCGCCCTCGGGGTGCGCATCCAGTTCCTCGACACGGCGCGCTTCGCTGGCTTCTGCCGGATCTTCCACAGCGACATGGGCGCGGCGTGCACCATGCACGCCAACTGCTGCTTCGGCCTCGCTAACAAGCTGCACGACCTCAGGGAAGTGCTCGACCAGTGGAGGAACTACACTGGCCTGACGCCGCAGGAGAAGAAGAGCCGAAAGTTCATATGGAAGGATCCTGCCCAGTGCGAAACGCCGGACAAAAAGAACTGGTCGATAAATACATGATCATGCATCCCTAGAGAGGCAACTGGCCGGGCTGCGTCCCACGAAGAATATAATTCTCAATTTTCAAGGACAAATTAGTGTTATTAGATACACTATAAAATATATTTTACAATATACTCATTTGGTGTCATAAATATTTATGCTCTTTTATAAATTTGTATTTATGCTCTTTTATAAATTTAGACAGATATAAAAAAAATTAATTTAAAACAACTCTAGAAACTGATTTATTCAGGGACGAAGGGAGCAATGATATGTGACAAGCTTTTTTTGCGGATCCCAAACTAAAGCTAGAGTTGAATCCTTTTTGGATAATACTTGAATATTAGAATTGTATTCTACCCTAGTTAAAGGGACACTTTTTTATATGATATTTTCAAATATAATCCATGGATTCATGGAAGTACAAAAATCAGCATTGTAGTTACCTATCTACTCCCTATGTTCCAAATGTCCTATGAGTAAATCAAAACTTTCATGAAGTTTATAGAACTAACATCTACGACAATGGCCCCGTTCGGCTTACCCAGAAAACGACACTATTTAGCTTGTTTTTTCAGCCGAAACAATATTTTTCTCTCACAACAATTCAGTCAGAACAGTGTTTTCAACCAATTTCAGCCAAATTTCAGCAAGCCGAACGGGGCCAATAAATTACAACATTTATTTTAACTGATACTTCTGCATGTTAACATTTTCTAAAACAATTGGTTAAAATTAGAGATGTTTGGCATAGTAAAAAATTAAGTGACATACTATAGTCTGAAATTATGATTGTGTTGGCAATGCTTTTAACGATTGACGAGTAGTCGTATGAATCACATACAGTAAATCAGAATGATAGCACATGGGGCGCAGAGTTTAACTAGTTTAGGTGGGTGCACCATGTCTCGTGTATATGTGGTTAAGTGAAGCTTTAACCTATGTTATATTAGCTCTTGTCGTAGCCATGTTGTGATATCTATAGTTTAGCTTTCAAATTTTGATTTTATTAATTGCCAGAATTTTAAGCCTGTATTTTAAGTTAAAACACTAGTGTGTTTACTATATTCTCTTTTTTGGTAATCTTAAAATAAGTCACCATCACCTTTGTATTCTATTCAAAATAGATTCTAGATCAAATATTGCGCCTTTTGGTCAAATATAGGTAATTATTAGTAGTATGAGCATGTAACTTAGATGCAAATTTCATGTTGTTTTAATTTATTTATTTTCCAAAAGTAGCATGTATGGGTAACTTTTTAGAAAATATAGAATATATCAATAACTATTATTGTTAATGATGATTAGAATCTACTGAACCGATGATGGGATATTTCTACATTTTATGAAAAATATAATTTATATTTATCCTATCATGTCTTGAGGGAGTTATTATGAAGGCTTCCAATTATAATTAATTAGTTTCTATCCCTTTCTTTAGAAGTAGCTTGAAAAATAAATTGCCATATATATACTACATTGTTTTTTGAAATGAATCAGGCAGGAGAGCTACTGACTATATTAAAAGA